GGGTGCCATGCCTGCTCTGTGCTCCACTGTCAGTGGAAGAGGGGTCCCATGCCTGCTCTGTGCTCCACTGGGAGATGCAGAAAGTAGCATCTTGTGGTTCTAATATACAGGTAGCTGTTGATATGCCCAGCTTTGAGGGTAGCCCTGTTACAGAGCACTGAGAAAGGCAGTGCCTTCTCCTGACCTGTTAAATTAACTCTCACTGCAGCTCAGTGTTGCACCTCCTCTATTCCCTGCAAAACAAATGAGCAGGCTTAAGACCTTTGGCATCTGTTTTCTTTGCTTATAGTTAAGTAATCAGCCATTAATGTATAGCATATTAAATTAATCTAAATTACATGTTATACAGAGTACTTTTCATTTATACACAGGGATAAGTTAGGAGACTTCATCCTGTTACAGAGAAATTCCTTGTCCACTGTATTTTGGGTAATAGGAGAGTAGATGAAATATTAAGTACTCTCTGCTTTATTCAGGCTAACACAGTTGTGCTCCAGCAGCTGAGAGTCTGACAGGTTTCTGTCTTGGCTTTCAGAAACATGCCAAGGGCCAGGACCTTTTCAACAAGGTGTGTGACCACCTCAACCTCCTGGAGAAGGACTACTATGGACTGGCCATCTGGGAGACTCCCACACAGAAGGTAGGAAGGGCTGAGAGACACAGCTCGAGCCTAATCCAGGATAAACTCACAGCCTCACTCTCAGAAATCAACTACTGGACAGCTTATCTGGAGAATGTGCAAGTTGTTTTTGTACTCAGAATTCTGGAATTCTATCCAACCTGAATGTTAAAATGGAACCTCCAGCATGTTTAAGAGCTGAAAACAAATAGACAATTAAAATTAATCTTATTATTAAGTCAGTCAAGTGTTCAGCATGTGAATGGGCCACAGGTCCAGGATAGGATCCCCTGACTTACACACTTGCATAAGTGTCAGTAGACAGTTTTATTAGTAAAATAAACGCTAATTATTTTTGACATAATTGAAACACTCACTTGGAGTCATTTGTCTTTAACACTGTGTGCAAAGGTGTTCTGAGAATCACTAGTTCATACTTGCAACACCTTGGCTCACAGAGGCCAGTGTTTTTCTGGGAGGCAGGATTGCAGACCACGCAACACATTAACAATACATCTGCTGTGTCACTCTAGCTCTATCTGCAGGGATTAATGGGTTTTTAAAATGTTTGGACAAACAAATCAAACATGAAGGAATTGACTCCTAAAGGCTCTCATTCAAAGCCTGCAATGGCTCCAGCTCTTTCAGTGAATACACATAAATCTAAACGGAGCTTAGTCAGTACGCTGATTCTGTCTCGGGGACACAGCTGTTCATACTGACTGGCTCTGAAATGCCTTTAAATGTATTCTTCTCGTAAAACCCCGAAATGTAAAGTTGTGCAGTTAAAAAATTACTACACTGAGCTTTTCCAGATATCAGGAATTGCCAGTAATGAAACATATGGAAAGAAGCTTAAATTTAAGAACAATGTAAGAAACTATCACACTCTTATTAAAAGTGAAAAGGCACCCATGCATAATTTCTGTGTTAAACCTTTTGGAACAGAGACCCAACGGCCCTGTAATGGATACGGTTTTAAATGCAGTTTCGTTCTCTATAGACTTATTGGCTCCAAATAACTAATGAGGAGGTGTTCTTTTGAAATCAGGTGAATCTGACTTGGCTCTAAAATATAATTCAGGCCATTGAGTTTAGTATGCAGATGGAACTTCATTTGTTGTAATAGAACAGCCAGATGTAAGGCACCAAATGTGAAGGCTTTGTTCCAAATGTTAGGAACAAGATTGCGAAATAACCCCGTCAGAATAATGAAACACTTTATAACTCTTCTTCTTCTTGAAAAGGTCTGAAAAAGCCTGTTAAACAACTGACAATCTGGATTATTCGTAATATATTTTTTTAAAGATTTAGAAAGGATCTTTACACGTACGTTTTTTTATGTGAGGCTGGCTGTAGAAAGGAGAGGCAGTGCCTTGTGTCATCAGCTGTAGCGTTGTAAATATGTGGAGCATGCAGGTCTGTGCTCTGCCTTGTGTCTTAAATCCTACTTTTCTTCTCTGGTGCTCATAGACCTGGATGGATGTTACCAAGGAGATCAGGAAGCAGGTGCAGGGTGAGTCTTTCACTCAAACACTCGTATTTCTGTGCTTGTTCTGTTTTTACACACTGTTCTCTCCTCCACCAACGTGAAACCCGACATGGGATGTACACCTGAAACGTAGTTTACCTACTGGAGAATGTTTAAAGATTATACCCTTTCAGTTTATATAAAAAAGTATTTTGCTTCTGATGACTTTATTAGGAGTTACTTGATTTTTTTGAGTACATTTTCTCAAATTTGGTCCTTGCATGTTGTAATGTGCACACATTAATGCTCTTTGGATACAAAAAGTGTTTCAAAAAGTGCTATATGTCAGTCTGCAGCCTGGGAGACTCTTAGCCTGGGAGAACTTAACTGTTCCTCACTTAAGTTAGCAGCTTTTATCAGCAAGGAACATGGTTTACAGTGTTTTTCAGTCAGTTAACAACTATATAGAGGTATTTTCCTGGATCTCTGGCCTGTTAAGCCTTTAGCTGTGAAGAGATTCTTGAAAAAGTCTGGATGAAAGGTTCAGGTGGAAGAGCAGGGTGCATCTCAGTACAGTTTGTAAACGTTTCACTTGTACTTAAGAAGCATGAATTTCCTGTTGCATTATGATCAGTTTGATTTTATCTGTGAATGTGCACTTATTATGTCTAATGCGTTGTGCTTCTTTTGTGTATTTTAATTAATTGTATTACCTGTATTGGGAGAAACCGAAGACAAATTTCCACATTTAGTGGACAACAAAGTTAATCTAATCTAGTCATAAGATTTCTCTTGGTTCTAGGTTGCGAAAAACCTTGAGGCTTTAAGTGCAGTTACTGTGGCATGTTTTTGCCTTCAGGTGCGTAGGCATTAGGATTGTGAACAATAAGATTGTGCAGTGCAGATTTCACTCGCTTGATCAGTGTCTGAAGTCATGAACAGTCTTCACCTGTGGGTCCTAGTTTTCAGGTGTATTGAAATTGCATTCATGCACGGCTGGAAAGATTGTAATCTGTTGCTCTAGCTTGGAAGTGTTGATCAAGTAATGCAACTTGCTGGGATACCTTTTCCATGCCAAATCCATTTTGACAAAACATATCTCTTTGGGTCTGTGCCTTTACCCTTTAGCAGGAAGTGCTTGCTTGTGGTTTGAGGGCTTTGTGCAGAAATAAGAGGGCTGCTGTTCACAGTGGAAGTAAGGTTCTGTGGTTTTCCAGGTACTTCCTATGACTTCACTTTCAATGTCAAGTTCTACCCCCCTGACCCGGCCCAGCTGACTGAAGACATCACCAGGTAAAAAGACTTTCTCCTTCTCCTGCGGCAGTTCCTCTTGCTGTCTCCTTCTTTAGGCATGAGAGAAGATTCTGATCTGATGCAACCAAAAATACTGGTTTGCCCAAACACTCAGTGATCAAACCTTGCTTTGTTTGCCCTGATATCCAGAATCTGGGCAGACTGGCCCTTTGCTTTTTCAATGGCCAAGCCTACGTAGTCCACACAGAGCTGTTGTGATCTCCGTATTGCACCGCTGAGCAGAAACGTGCCCTCAAGCCTGAAAGGAGAGTCCCATTCTCCTTCCCCGACTGGGGACAGGGTGTGTGGCAGGTGTCTGACGTCTGGCAGTTTGTTTAAGAGGCACAGAGCTGTGCCTTGGATGAACCTCTGACTGCCACTGGTTCTGCGCCCGTGCTTGTGTTTTGGAAAAAAAACCCAATCCGGGACGAGAGCTCGAGGGGAACTTTACTCGGCCCTCTCTCGCCTTGCAGGTACTACCTGTGCCTGCAGCTCCGGAAGGACATCCTGAGCGGCACGCTGCCCTGTTCCTTCGTCACCCTGGCGCTGCTGGGCTCCTACACCGTGCAGTCGGAGCTGGGCGAGTACGACCCCGAGCTGCACGGCGCCGACTACGTCAGCGAGGTGCGCCTCGCCCCCAACCAGACCAAGGAGCTGGAGGAGAAGGTGATGGAGCTTCACCGCACATACAGGTAACTGGGACGCTGCCAGACCACGAACACACACCTGCAACCCTCCTTCTGGTACACGGAGGAAGTCTATGGAATGTGTTGCTGTTCTGAGTTGCCTGTGCTACTGTCTGCTTAATTGACATGCTCCATAAATCTAATTTTGAAGGGATGGGGCAAAAATGCTTATTTGCAGTTCTGGTCATGCAAAAGGATACAGCCTTAGAAGGAAAACATTTGTCCTCAACTGTACTGCATTTTCTGCTTGGTACTAGCCAAGACGTTAGCTGGAGATTTGAAGCGTTAACCCTGAGGAGCAGCTCGTAACGTTTTTGCCAGAAACGTCTTGGAGACGCGCGTTTTCATCTCTGGGTAAGAGTGAAATCATTGCAGTCTAAGGCTGAGCGCTGTAGCTGCCCTGAGAGTTCTCCAGGGATTCAAAAGATCACGTCCCGGCTGAGAATGTGCTTTGTGCCTATCAAAAAAAAAAAGAAAAGAATTTTGATTTAAAATGATGAGTTTTTCCATATTTATACAATATATTCTCCACAATCTTTAAAGATTAACCTATCCACCTCCATGTGCCCCTGCCCAGGCAGGTATGACATAATGACATAAAGGCAGGTATGAAATGAGCTGTTGTTGTATTTCAGAGCCAGTGTTAATGAGGTTGTAGATCCGTGACCAAGCTTAACTGGGGAGAACCAACTGCTGAGAGTATCAGCCTAGAGTTCAGATATTTATATGTCTTTAACCGCTTCACATCTCCTTTCAGGCAATGTAAGTAGATTAAGGGGAAAAGTTCAGAGCCTCTTCCAGGCACCACTGGTAATTGATGTAAAGTTAATTAGGGCCATCAGTACGCAGTGTACCCAAGCTGCATGCCTGGAAGAGCTTAATACTGTGCTGCAGCTATTTATAACAAACCAGAGGACCCCTCTCTGTGTTAACCGGTCTTCCCCTCCCTCCTATGCTATGTAGTGGACGAATGATGGACCACCTTTTTTTTTAGTTAATCAATTAGACTGCAGCTCATGGGTTGTTGTGGCAGCAGTGGTGCATCCTCTTAATAAAGGCCGTTTTGTGCTCTTTACTCTTTCTGTTTTTGCACATACCTTCTTCGTGGAGGATGTGCGTCACTGCTGATGTTTCTGCCTGCGTTGTTTGCCATGGTGACTTACAGTACTTGTTGGTTCATTTTCAAGCTTCTGAAAGACCTGCCCAAATCAAACCAAATCCCTTTCACATTGTGCCACTTTTTTGCTTGTTGAGCAAAGCACGGTGGTGTTACACTGATGCACTTCCCCCGGGTCACTTCCTCTCCCTCAGGAAGTTCTCACAGGAACTGTTCAGCCTCCAATTGTCCTGAAGCCAATCAAGTAGCCATCTTAGCAGGAATGACAGCAAAAAAAAAACATTTGAACACATGTGAGAGGATGTGCAAGAAGAAAGCACTTGGAACAAAAGGAATATGCGGATCGGGTGGGCATGGTGCTGTTTCTGTCTCTGTTAAGAATTTTGCCTGCTGGTCAGTCCCACCTGTTGTTCTTGGCCCCAATCACCGACAGCACTGTTTCTGTCTGCCTGCAGGTCCATGAGTCCTGCCCAGGCGGACATGATGTTCCTGGAGAATGCCAAAAAGCTGTCCATGTATGGTGTGGACCTGCACCAGGCCAAGGTGAGATGAGGAGAGGGGGGGTGTTTTATGAAAAGTGGCAGACTACACCTGTTAAAAACCTGGGCAAGAAGGCAGGCAGGCAGGGTGACCACAGCACTAACATTTTCATTTAGCCTGCAGATTGTCTGCTTCGGTAATAGTAATAATAATTGCTTACACTTATGTAGCGCTTTTCTGGACACTCCACTCAATGCACTCTACAGGTAATGGGGACTCCCCTCCACCACCACCACCAATGTGCAGCATCCACCTGGATGATGCGACGACAGCCATAGTGCACCAGAATGCTCACCACACATCAGCTATCAGTGGGGAGGAGAACAGTAATGAAGCCAGTTCATAGGTGAGGATTATTAGGAGGCCACAATTGGTAAGGGCCAATGGGAAATTTGGCGAGGACCCACATAGACTGCAGTGTGAGCGCCCCCTACTGGCCCCACTAACATCTCTTCCAGTAGCAACCTTAGTTTTCCCAGGAGTCTCCCATCCAGGTACTGACCAGGCTCACACCTGCTGAGCTTCAGTGGGTTGCCAATTGTGAGTTGCAGGAAACCCTTTTCTGTCCACTAAGGAAACAGAACTTGATTCAGCATGTCACAGGAAACAAACACTGGATGGGGCAAGAGATTGTAAAACACTGAGATGTAAGCAGGTCAGGAACATTTATGACAAACTCAGCATGGTAAATATTTCAAGGGCCAGAAAGAGATTTTTCCTTGCAGCCATTGCCACAAAGCTAAGACTTTAAGCCTTTCAGGACCTGCCTTGTAGCTCTGATGTGTGTCATCACAGGGATTTCCATATCATTGTCGAAGATAAGTGACAGGATAATGGATGGTTATTTTCACCCTTTATGAAGCATGCCCTCATTGATCACTTGAGCTACTTGTATAAAGAGTACTGTTTACAACGGGTTCGGTGTCATAAGCCTTGGAGCTATACGTCTTCGATTGTGAATTCATTTTTAAAGCAGATTTGTTTAGAAGTAACCAATTGTAATCAAGCAGTGTTTGACAGTTCCATGAGTAACACAACATCAAGGCTTGTGTTCTATCCCTTCATTAGAAAAACATACATAGATACAGGTAGATAAATCTTAATTAAAGTGTAACTCTGAGTTCTAGAGAAAAGCTTTTAGATCCTGTTCTGTATAGGCAGAATCTGTTTTTTTTCCCCTGAAACAGAACAATTATATTCTTGTAACTCCAGAAAAAAGTCCTGAAGGACATAGATCTAACACACAAAATTAGGTCAATTGGTTTGTATCAGGCCTAGGATTAGACAAAAGGTTGGCAGAAGGTGCCACCTAGTGGCGATCCTTTGAAACTACAAGTATGGCAGGCGACAGGCTTCCCAGCATTCTCTGATTGACCTGTTAGGTTTTCTCAGTTTACTTTTTAAATAACGTGATGCAATAAAATGATAATTGAGGAAAATCAAAGTTTGCTGCTGCTGGCACAGAATGACATCCTCCTCATATCAAGGGCTTTAGGATTCTCCTGTAGGTATATATAGCTATATTGGACTATAGGTCCAAACTGGACATGTGCTCACGTCTTTCTAAAAGAGATCCCCTCAAATTGAAACGTGTGAAAAAACAGTGAGAGCTGTGTAAAGACATGGTGGAGCAAATTAGAATGCAGAGCTGTTGCATCTTGACTGCGGTCACTTTTCAAAAGGCATTATCTGTACGTCTTATTTAAAAAGAAGAAGATGCAGGCAGATGTGTACAAAATGGCAGATTTGCCATCAAACTGCAGGTCCTGCGCTTCTGTGTTAATTCATCGCTAATTAATTTGGCTGAGGCTTCTGTCCAAAGCGACGGACGTTTGCACCCATGTATGCAGCTGAGTGTGTTACCGGAGTTGTTCAGGTGAAGCACCTTGTTCTGTGTACAGCAGCTGGTGGAGTTTGGACTCGCAGCCCTCTGGTTACAAGTCCAGAAGCCTAACCAGTTCTCCACACCGCTGTCCTGTGTGCTTGTGTTCAGGATCTGGAGGGTGTGGACATCACGCTGGGGGTGTGCTCCAGTGGCCTGCTGGTCTACAAGGACAAGCTGCGGATCAACAGGTTCCCCTGGCCCAAGGTCCTCAAGATCTCCTACAAGCGCAGCAGCTTCTTCATCAAGATCCGCCCCTCAGAGGTACGAACCCGTCGGGCGTCTGATGGCACACCTGCTGCCTGCGTCTTTCTGCCCCAGCCTAGGCCTTGTTCCAGCACCGGAACTGCTTGGTGCCAGAGGGGCTTATTTGTTTCTTGTTCTGACCTGTGACCATCACTGTATTCCACGTTTCATTCCCAGGCGCGAGCAGGTAATCTGTGCCTTAATCAAAACATGTTCTTGTGCTCCAGCTGTAGTTTTTGTCATTATTATTTCCACTTGGAATAGAATAGAATTATGTTTCCCGTGGCCCTTAAACAAGTACAAATGTTAGCATGGTCGAGATACGTGTCCTTTTATGGTTGACAATGAAGAAGCAGGCAACTCCTGTTGTGTGTTCTTTCCATCTGTGTCTTGTGTCGCAGCAAGAGCAGTACGAGAGCACCATTGGATTCAAGCTGCCAAACTACAGAGCTGCCAAGAAGCTGTGGAAGGTCTGTGTGGAGCACCACACCTTCTTCAGGTGAGACCTGACACATTGCAGTCACTAGAGGGCAGTGGCTGTCTCCTGTGTTGTCCGGGGGCAGGAGCTGGGCGTTCTTGCCTTTGTAGAGCTATGATACACCAAAAGTATTCCAGTAGTAATTAACCGTCAAATGCTTTAATGACTTTGCTGTTGAAAAAAATATTGGCACGTGAAAGAAATTTAAAAGCCAAATATGCCCAAATAAACATGGACCAGGGATGGGCATCTTTGGCTCTTCCATTCCAAAGTAATGTGGGGAAAAAGCATGAAAACAGATGGTTAATGCCAAGCACTTACAGTAGAGGTGATTACTGCTCACAAGATTGGCATTGGAAAATGAAAGGGCTTGATTGACGTGCTGTCTGTGGTTCACAGGCTCACCTCCACAGAAGCCACCACTCCGCGGAGATTCCTGGCCCTCGGCTCCAAGTTCCGCTACAGTGGGCGGACGCAGGCCCAGACGCGCCAGGCCAGCTCCATGATCGACAGACCGGCCCCGCAGTTCCAGCGCACGGCCAGCAAGCGGGCGTCTCGGAGCCTGGACGGAGGTGGGTGCGGACTGACGGGCTGGCGTGAACCCCCCCCCGCCCTCCTGGCTCCCTGAGGGAGAGGATGCTGGAACATCAGCGTTCTTAAGTGCTGATGCCCTGTCTCACAAGGCCGCAACATAACATCTCCTCTGCCTCTAGTGCCAAGACAGCTCGAGACGTTACTGAAAGGGTTTTGGTCTGCGTTAAGAGAGGAGATTATAATACATACTAGAAAATGCATAAACCGAACTTCAAGAAAGCGAGGTTAGCAGTGAATGGCTCAACCAGGTTTGGTGATAGAGTGATAGATGTATATATGTCATTATTTTCGCCATTTTCAAGCAGAGGTTTGATTGCGCATCTGCCTTGTTTATTTTTGCCTGTGTGTTCTCACTTCCAACTCCCTTGTGTACCTCTGCATCCCACACAAAAGCCGCGAGATGTTAGGAGCATTTCGAGGGGCCCACTAGGGCTCCACATCCACTTTATCGAAGCAGTGGAAGAAAGTCAGTGACCTGTATATGTGTGTGTGAAGCATGATGGATCTGCTTGGAGCTGTGAGCTCTTGGTTTCTAACAGAGATGCCCGTAGAACATGCACAGAGAAGCCTTTTCAGCAAGATCCATCTCTGAGAGGTACAAAACCGCGGTCTGACTCGTAACCCAAAACAGCCTGCAGTCACCAGTTCATCTTGTGCCGCATCCTGGATCCTTGATGTCCACCCTAAATTCCCAAATATTTGTTGGCTTCCTGGAGTTGGACAGACAATCTAGGAGCAGTGCACTCTGTGTCTCATTGGTAAGCCTGTTACGACCACACCTCCCATTGTGCCTCCTATGCTAATGTGTTCCCATCTCTCCAGCTGGAGGTAAGTCTCCTCATGCGGAGCTGAATCCAGTAGAAGAGCGGAAGGAGGAAGATGATTGGTTTGTTCTGATGGATCCTAACCAATCACAGCTCAATCCCGAGCCCTCAGGTACTCTCTCCTGCTTTGCAGAGTACAGACTGTCCCTCCCACTCCTCCTCCCGCTTCCTCTCGCTTGTGTTGCAATCCCACCACTGGCCACTGCACAGCTATCCACAGCCCCTCTCCTCAACTCCCACCTGGCCGGGTGTGGCCAGCACTGTCTCCTACGCTTGCCATTCTGCTGCTGGCACCAGTCTGAGTTAAACCACTTCTGTAATGCTCACAGGCGTCTTCACAGCTGTAACTGAAAAGGATTTTGTTAATTTCCTCGCCTACAGCTTTGCTTCTCTATCCTCCCTGAAAAACCGAAGGGCATGTTGCACCAGAGCCATGTATTTTGCCGTTGAATAAGTTCTCGTCAGAGGTAATGACTAGTGTTGAGAGCTCTCGTGAAACCAGTGCTGTTGTGGCGCTGCTCAGCTGTGGTAGATGTAACTCCCAGCTCCACGTTGGTTTGTAAGCTCATTTATCACTGCCACCTCTCTCACTAAAGATTTTTTCATCTGAGCTCCGGATGGTGTGTGCAGTGTGCAGCACTCTGAGCTCCTGGCTGGTCTAAGGTGGTGTCGGGGAGCTGGGCTGAGTTCCTCTGTGCCATGCCAGATGTGTCTGTGTGCTATGTGGTACACAGAAGGTCAGGTACACAGAAGGGCTCCTGAGGCTCAGAATAATTGCTTCATTTGTTAGGCTCAAATCCTCACGAGCGTGTTGGGTAAGAGCTACAGGGAGGCTCAGCAGAAGAGCAGAGTTCTTAGCAGAATGTGTGCAAAAGCTTTTGAAATGCCTACAGTGTGCTTGTCAGCTTTTGGAACTTAATGAGTGCGGCTTCCAATGGTATTGTTTCCTTGAAGTTGAGGCTGAAAATGTGTTGCAGCCCAGTGAGATGTCTGTTGAGCTGGATGGCTGAACACACCTGAGGCTATCCCGTTGCCGACCTGAACTGACCACTTGTCCAGCTCCTTTCTCCCCTCTGCACTCTGCTGACTGATGGATCTGCCGCAGGCTCTGGATGGGGTTATGTGAAATGTAAAATGTGCTCTCTCTGGCCAAGAAATAGATGAGGAAGCAAATCTGCTTTTATACAGTCTAATAAAGAACAGACCCCAGATGACCGAGATGTATTCTACTCCTAGGTCTGGAGTGTTCAGAAATGAGATTTTTAGTAGATGGATCTCTTATGCAAAAAGAGGCTTTTATAATTGTGCTGTAAGTGGCAAGCATAATGAAAACTTCTATCGTTAGCTTTACTATGGCATTCATCTGGCACTTTCTGAGGAAAGGTGTGGCTATCTTGCCCTTTGAGAGTTGAGAGTGTGCTTTATCTTTGGCTTCCTTCCCCATCTGAGATGGAGCACTCTCTGCAGAGGGGACCCCCAGTTTGTTTGGGGCTCGATGGTAAAAGAGTCCATTGCAGGTTGTGTGATGCTCTCCCAGTCCCCCACACCCAGCCCAGCTCTGTCCTGCTCCTGCCTGACCACTCCCACAGGCCTCTTGGTCAGCGTCACTGCGCTTTCTGTGGAGCTGGTGATCACAGCTCGGCTCCGTTCTCTCTCGCTCGCCTGTCTGCGTCACTACGTTTGTCTTCGTTTAAAGCCGGACTCGAGGCTGGGTTCCTGACGTAGCACTGTTCACCATGTGACTGCTGCAGATGGTTTGGGTTTGGGGGGGGGCCTTTAAGGCACTTCCAGCATGAACATACTCCTTGTCATAAACTCCCTGGCCAGAATATTAGAAACCCCAACTGGATAGTGTGTTTGGGCCTCTGGAAGCAGAAAGAACAGCGTGAAAGGGAGTAAGGCTTTTCTGACATGGGTTTTTAAATACTTGTGTCCCATTTCTCTCGCATTTGGCGTCGTGAGGCTGTGTGAGATTGCACAGCGTCTGCTATGGGTCTTCAGTAGGGAGCTCGTGCTTCACAGCCCTGCGATGTAGCCGGATTGTGCTACATCAATATCAGCAGTGTTGCTGAAGAGGGTAAAAGACAAGTTGCATTAGCTATACTGTGCATTTACTGTACCTCGCATGACGTTTTCTCCTTCAAGCTGCTGTAGTGCGGTGATCTCAGGGAGTAGCCTGTACACAACCCTCCTAGCCATCAGCCTGCTGTTGTAACGTGTCCCCCATCTCCGCCGTGGCCAGGAGACGGCGCTGAAGCCAACAGCACAGCGAGGGCAGGAGGATTGGCGCTAGCATCTCCTCTCCACACCTCCTGCCCTCTCGCACAGAATACCCAGCCTGCCACTCAAACAAGAAGAAGCCCAGTTTGTCGTAAAACGCCTCTCGAAAGGTCCTGCGTTTCATCCAGCTCTTGCGTTTCGAGAAGAGCGTGCAACAATGCCACAGACGCTAAGAAACTTCTTAACCAACTCTGCTGGAATAATAATGTTTTCAAAGAATTTGTTTTCTTGGGTAGGATGCCAGAAATATAACACAGGTTAATGGAAAAAGTGAAAGTTGAGCTTTTTTGGGGCTTCCTCGTTGTCTGCCACACACAGCATAGAATCACAGACTGGCTGTGCTGCCACCTGCTGGACACTGCCATAGTGACAGCAGGACAGGTGCAGGCCGAGACGGACGCACTGGGGTTTGAGAGCGTGAACAAGAGTCTGGAAGGATCCAGGCTGAAGGGCGCGCTGCTTTAACGTGTCCCCGTCTCTCCAGCCGCCGGAGAAGCTACCCCAGCCCCGCCGAAGCCAGCGGTGGATCAGGAGGAGAAGGAAGACGACTGGTTTGTGTTGCTGGACCGCGCAGCTTCCCAGCACACGCCTGAGCCCCCAGGTACCCCCTGCTCCTGCAGCTTCGCAGAGCACAGCCATCCCAGCGCGCACTGGGGCCGCAGTTCCAAACCGCTTCTGCTTTTGAGACCGAACTCGGCATTCCTTTTTAACAAAAACCTTCCACATGCTGTGCAGCGGCTTCCACCTGCTTTTTAAAGACGGTATCGGCGGTGTCGCCGAACAAGACGGAAGACAAGTTCCATTAGCTTTGCTGTGCGTTTACCTCTCGAGAAGTTTGCTCCTTCGAGCTTGTGGACTCTTGCAGCCTGGAGGCCGCTTCTGCATATCCGCTGGTGCCCGTTTGTTTCTGCAGAAGAGCTGCGTTAGCTACGACCCCAGCCTGTGCAGGCAGGTGTAGAAGTGCTGGCATGTGGCCTGTGCCCAAGGACTGTTTGCTGCTTAAAGAGAGCAAAGTGTCGTCTCTCACGAGACGCGAGCTGCCCTCCTCTCCAGCCCAGCAGCCGTGACCTGGTGGGTCACTCGTTCTGACGTGTTCCCACTCTCTCCAGCGGGGGGCAGTGTTGCCCAGCCTCGTCCCACGGCCGCATCAGCGCGAGAGTGGCAGGATGACTGGTTTGTGCTGCTGGACACCACCCCCAGTTCCCCAGGTACCCCCCCCCCACACACACACACCCACCCACCCAGCGCCGCCCGTGTGGTGCTGCCACCTGCTGCCCATAAACTCCTGTTGCACCACAGCTCCCTTCGCTGCAACCCGTCAGAACGTGCTTTTGGACTCCTCTGTGCTCCGCTCGCCTAGAGGGTGGTGCGGTGTCTGTCTTCTGTCTCTTTCCGTGTGTGCTGCACACCCGTATCGGTGCAATCTTCATTTTTGTTGTTGGTATCATTGCTCGTTAACGCTCTTAACCACAGTAGATGTCGATTTGTCGCTTGGATGCCAGTAGGTTTGTTTTCTTCTTTCCGGAGTTTATAATTAACCCTCTGTTGTATGCATTCCGCCAATATGGTGGAGAAGAAAAAACAATTTTTCTGAATTTCTTAAAAGGATCTGTGTTGCACAAAAAAAAAAAACATTGTTGGGGTTATTCATGTTGTCCATGTACTGACCATATATTTTACAGTGTGCGATGCAGGGTTAAAACAGCTATGTGTGTGATGGGTGTTATACAGTGAAAGGCCTGTAGATTGCACAGAAAAAGATGCCATGTTAATCAATGAGCAAATTAAAACAATTTCAAAGTGTTCGCCCCTCATTGTTGACTACATATAATATGGTGGTGCTGTATGATGCTTTTGTTTTAAAGGAGCAGCTTTGACCTAAAGGTAATGTGTACAGGAGATAACACTGAGCATAGAACGGAGCAGACACCAACACAGCAGCAGCTCAGGCCTGAGCCAAGCTGCCTCACAGGGCTGTTGTGGTATTTCTGACATGGATTAGAAGTGTTGTGGTAAAGCTGGTTGATCCTTTTTTTTTGGACTGTTGGTTTTAATGTGGCAGGACGTTGTGCGTCAGGCAGAGTGGCTCAAAACAGGGACACGGGGTTCCGGCTCGGAGGGTAATCTCTCTTCTTGCCCTGTTAGTACAGTTGGGCAGTTTTAATCTCTGGTCTCCACCCCCCCCCTCCTTTCTCCCCCAACAGCGGTGGTGCCAACCCCTGATAAGAGCACGCGCCCGGTCAGTGCCCCGGTCATCTCCCCTGTGCCCCGGGGAGGGGAGCCCAGCCTGCCGGCTCCTGCCTCGGCCGCCCCCCCAGCTGACCAGCGGGAGCTTCCCCCTGCCGCGCCCCAGCCTCCCAAGGAGGAGCAGAGGACGGCGGAGGTGAAGTCTGAGGCCCCGGCCTCCGAGCCCTCCAGACCGGAGCCCACACAGGAAGTCAAGGTACAGCTCTGATCGGCCATGGAGGGACAGGGAATGTCAGATTACAGCACACCGCCGTCCATACTGTGCAGAGTACTCCCTTTGAAAGTGCTGTCTAATGCAGTGGAATACAGCGTAGCCACAGGTACTGCAGTGCCGTAATGGTAGTTCATTGAACAGCAGTGCAGTAATAACGGTACCATGCATTACAGTGGAAGACAAGCTGTTGTGCATTTCACAGTATCGCATTTTATAGTAGAGGTAATCTGTTACAGTGTAATAGCTGATCAACAAGGCGGTTGCTAGATTTCTTTGCAGCGATGCACAGTGCCTACGTTTGTTAGCCCAGTACATGTGTGGAGATGGGTGGGTAGGGGGAATTAGGTGGGGAAAGGCTTTAGGATGCAATTTCTGAAGTACGAATCTGAGCGAGTTCAACCGAATTCAAGTAGAAGGGCTCGTTCTGTTTCCTTTCCCATTCCGTTAGTGGACAATGATGTGCAGTAGATGATGTGATGCGTGCTGGAAGGATGTTGAAAGATTGATGCAATCGAATTTGCATGTAGAATCAAACAATAGATTATAGAACTGAACAGCCTTAGAACCTGGTAGAATCAAAGGTATGAGCAACGTTCGCATGTTTCTGCGTTGCTTGTAAAGGGTTAAATTCACTTTGCTGTTCCACTATTTCTGATACTGATTCCGATTTACATTCTAGATTTTTCATTCAAGACTGTACTGATTGGAAATCCAATAAATGCATATGCATATCGCTCTAAACAAGCCCCGTTATGTAATGTGAGTGTGTGTCAGAAATGAACCTGTTAGATTTATTTTTTGGATCCAAAATGACAGAAAAGCAGTTAAATGTGAAGGAGTACGTATGTTCCTTGATTGGGTTATCTGTCATTGCAAGTATATCTTTGAAAGGATGTTCTGAAGTCTCTAAAGTGGGTCCTACGGAGTGACGTTTACTCCGTTTTAAGGTTTGTTAATGAGTGATTAGAAATGCTTCTCCTGGAGTAGGGTCTGTTGTCCATGTAGAGCTGCGCGATGGCTGTTTCACTGCTGCCGCGCCCATGCACTGCCCCCCAGGTAAGTCACGCTGCGGTAGCTGGAGCAGCAATAGGCCCCATCCCCCCCCGAGCGTCTGACCTGTTTCTGTGCTGATACAGGTGGGGAGGGAGAGGAGAGAAGGCCCAGCAGTCACCGCCAGTAATGGCGAGAAAGCTCAGGTTTGTGTCCAGAGCCCGAGAAAAGATATTAAAAGCCAATCGACATTTCTATACACCCGTTAAAGAGAGCAGAGCGGTACTAACCTACCTGCCTTTCTTTCCCTCTGCGGGGAAACAGCGCCCTCCGGTGGCGGACGAGGAGCTGGTGCGAATGCGGAAGGTTAGATCACAACCATTCTCCCAAACCTCCACCCCCCCCCCCCACGCACCCCCCTAGCGGTAGTCTTCACCCCCAACCCTGCCTCCCTACCCCCCCATCATTTTGCTTAAAAGAGACTGTGAGCTGCTTTTCATTAGACCTCTGAGAAAATGCTCCTGTTCCCTGGGCCATGAGCTTCTGTCAGCAGGATGTACAGAGACAGCAGAGAACTGACCTGTTCTGTGCTGCCCTGTCTGTCAGACTCCAGGCTCAGGGCAGAGAAACTCACCAGACCAGGATGGTCTTGTGTGCTGAGTGTTCAGTGTGTTATGTGCTGCATGGGTCATTTCGAACCTGCTTGCTTTGTGGTTTTGCAGGTTGTGTTTGGGATCTTTCGGCGCGTACGTGCACCCGCAGAAAGAGAGTCAGCCTCTCAGTCTGCTAGGAGGCGTGACTGCGAGTGAAATAAGGAACTGGGTCAATTTGTTGACTGCATGCAGACAGCGTCAACTTCAAACTCCCCCAATCCTTTCAGACATTACAGAGGTGATTGATGGTGGAAGCAAGAGACAGACGAGAGAGTTTTATCAGCATATTGATTTTTCATTTAAAAAATCATCCCAAACGTCACTTCAACCAGTTTGACCCAGTGAAAAAGGCACGGACAAGAGTGACTAGTTGCAACCGAAAGGACTTGTCCTTGCAGAAAGAGGGTTGCCCTACCTTCTGGCTAGCCACAGGGGTTTCCTTTAGACACCCCCCCAAGATAGTTCTCCATCTGGGAGTTCTGAAACCTGCTGAGCACAAGGAAGACCAGCTGTGTATCTCTGTGCTGCCTGAAACAGTTTGTGAATGCCGTGCCCGGTCCACTTCTCGTTTTCAAGGCGCTTTTGCTCTTTTTACAATTATTAGACACACGCGGGGCCCTTAGTAGTTTTTTCCCGTTTGTACTCTTTGCCCTCCTCCTGCATTATTCAAAATATGAGTTCAAATATCAGGCTGAATTTTTCAGCTGAATGTAAAGAGACAAAACAGCCTAGCGTAGCGAAATGGTTTCTGGGTCTCGGACATGCGGTCATTCGTGGATGTGCTCCTCAAGAAGCATTCAGCCTGTGTCCGTTGGCAAGTCCGTGCCTCCCCTACCGACCTGAACCCGGCTGTGTTTTCATCCGGGCGGATTCCTACATCAGCTGCAGGACTAAGAGATGAATGAAGGGACTTTGAAACCTCAAGACGCAAAGCTGCCATGTTTTTGTTTAAAAACAGCAGTGTTAACTGTTTGAATTGGTCATGTAAATTGAGGTGGCACAGTGAGAAGCATTGCTGCCTCGCAGTGCTGGGGCCCTGAGTTTCGTTCCAGGCCCAGGGTGGTGTCGGCGTAGATTTTCTCTGTGTTTGCATGGGCTTCCTTCAGGTGCTCTGGCTTCCTCCCACAGTCCAAAGACTTACTAGTAGATAATTGGCTTCTCGGAAAATTGGCTCTTGGTTGTCTGTGTGTGCGCCCTGCAATGGACAGGCGTCCCTGCTAGGGTGAATCCTGCCTTGTGCCCATTGCTTGCTCGGATAGGCTCCGGCTCCCCCACAGCCCTGCATTGGATAAAGTGGTTATTGAATGGAAGGAATATAAATGATCCCAACATGATCATTAACAGATGAAGAGACCTTTTCAATAACCGCAGACTATATTTCTGTGCTCTACCACTGTTTCTACTACAGAGTATCCCTTCATTTGGGATTTGTCTTTTGAGTGCTAGAAGTAAGTGCGTTCAGATCTGTCCTCAGCTTTAAGACAAAAACACACATTTCTTCAATTTAGTTTGCAAAAATCAGATCTTCGTCCTGAAATGGACTGAGACATTAAAGCACATTTGATTATAGATGCACTTTTGTGAAAACACCCTTAAGAGAGTTTTGCTTTGCTGCATTTGTCGTTTACTCTGCAGGCTAGACAACGACAGATTTTTCCAAGAGCTCTGTCATGTCTGTGGAAACAACAGCGTGCTGTATCTTTTAACTTGGGCCATTCCACTCCTCACTGCTCGTGATCACCAGTCTTGCCAAACCCTGTCTACCCCCTGACCCCTGACCCCTGACCCCGAAACACCTCCACCAGCCCCTCACGAGAGCGACCGCGGCTCTCGGCATGTGACCTTGCGGATGCGCGGTCTGCTCTCACACACCTCCCATGGCTCCGCTGAAGTCGCATTTGGTTTTGTTTTGTTGCTGTTGCCATCGTTATTCTGGTCATTGTTATGGCATTAACTGCCATTTCAGTTGCAGCCTTTTTATCAGTGCCACAAGAACAACATTCAAAAACAAATGTGCTTTTTTTTTTCTTTTCTTTCCCCCTTTTTTCTTCATTTTTCACAGAAAAGAGCAAAGAAAATTGAGGGTGAAACTATATATATCAGACATAGCAATTTAATGTTGGAGGTTGGTATGAACTCTGAAGCTGCTTGTCACAAGAAGTTTTTGTTTGTTTTTGCTCCGCGGCTGTTTTTTGCTGTTGCATGCACTGCATGACCTGATGTTCAACAGGCTTTTTTTCACAAACATTGCTTTTCAGCATTTTTTTTTTTATTTCATGCGCACATTTTAGCTTTGCATTACCCTTTTAAGCTTTCGCCTTTTTCATTTTTCTTCTTCATTTTAAATTCTAGCCTTGAAGTCCCGTTAGATTCGCCTAGTTCACTTTTAACTGCTTGTTGCAAAATATATGATTGGGGTCTTAGCGCCTTGTAACAGCACCTCTACAGTGAAATGTGGGATTGGGCAAAAAGGTTTTCCCCTAACCTGGATTCAAGAGCACTGACTTGAATTTGATCCAAAGGCTTTTGAGAATTAGCTGCTGCATCTTATATTTTTATGTAAAAAAAAAAGTTGTTTTCAATTCAACCTGCATTATCTGGCACTGGCTTGCACTCAGTCATTTCTTAAATGGAACTGAACCAATTACTGTTTTTTCTAAATCACTTGACAACAGCTTTCACACACCCCCCCAAAAAAAAAAAAAACTTCCCTACCTTCACCTTCTCTTCCAGAACTGTGTCCCCTTGGACTCCTTTCCTTACTGTTTCTGTCTTGTCCGAAGATTAATGGAACTGCCTGTCATCAGCGATGACAACAATGACAAATTGTTGCTCTGTGTACTGATTTTGAACCAAGGTGCAGAAACAGATTGGATCCTGCTCCGAACTGGACCTTTTAGCATGCTTTGCATGGCTCTGTTTGTTCAGAGGACAGCGTGAACCCTCAGGTTTGATGGTCTCGGCCTTCTTGGCAAACAGTTGGCCTCCAATTCACTTAAGAAACTTGAACGTGAGCCAAATTGGTTTGATTGCAAAGAAGAAGTTTTTAATGTAATTACACTTGGGGGGAAAAAAAAACATTCTTGGCATCACAACCCATGCATTACACAGCGATACCCAGGGGAATGAAACGGGCCAGGGAGGAGACAGAGGAGGTTTCAGACATACAGTAGGGTCAGATAGCAAAATCCAGGTGGCGCTTTGATAAAACGAGATTCTTCCCCTCAGAGGCTTCAAGAGAAAAGGCACTTCGACAGGGTAGCTCTCTTAAGGACGCTGTTGTGCTAAAGCGATTCTCCCAGTCATATATTTCTGCATCGGCTCATGAATTGTCCAGTGCTGACGATACAGCTGCTGCAGCCATCACAGAGCCTCGGCCCACTCCCATCACATGACCGTTGGCCACCAATCAGAGCCTCTCCATCACATCACGTCACATCCGTCGACCGCCGACTTAGAAAACTACCTGCTTGCTCTCTTGTTACTATGTCTTTTCCTTCTTAAGTCACTGTTGCGCGTGCCAGCGCTTTTGCTAGATTAGAACCCAAGACTCCTGTTGCACAGAAGGTTTGAGGTCTCCATCGGTGAGATAAGTGCAATGTCAAATTCCCAGCTATGGGGCTACTTTATATGGGTGTTACAAGCCACAGTAGCCATTAGAAATGTATGGCTGTTGCTGGTGAGCAGTATCTCTCTAATGCAGGCCCACATGTATCCAGTATCCAAGCTCCTCCTAAAGACCTCACATCAACTATACAGGAGAGTTTCTGTTTTCTGCTTCAATGCACAGCTGGTGAAACACTAATAAAATGGTCCCAACTGTTAAAAAAAACCTACTGATGATAGCTGAAGGTATGTAGGACAGTGAGTCAGTGTCCAGGTTAAGCCTGTGATGCCACAAAGCCATTAGATCCTAAAAGACAACTAGGGATGTGCAGGGCTAAATTTCTGTCATAGGCAAGAGCGCATCAGCTCCACATTGCCCATGTGATTGTGGACACAGTAATGGCCACTATCAGTCGGATAACCTGTACAGATAACTTGAGAGCAAGAGCTTGATCGTGACCCATGAAAACAATTATTTGTATGTCAGTGTGGATTAGATTGCAGGTTATCACAGACTGAGAATGGCAGGAGCTCAGTCTCAGTCCTCAGCTTTCTGATTCACATGGTGCATTTCCCATGTTGAGTTATTGGGACAGAAGTCACCTTTACAGGATGATGCACATGGTCTGGAATCCCTGCAGCTTTGATAGAATATCCATTTTTAATCCATTTCTGTCAGTGCTGTCTTTTTTTTTTAGTCATAATGTTCACACCAGATATAAGTCGAGATCTGCTGTGCGTTCACAGTGATCAGTTGGATTTTCATCTCTCTTTTTTAAAGAAGTGTTAGCACTAGCGGTACCAACTAATGGGAGTACTTTCACAGGCTGTTGTGAATCTTGTATTTCACTCCAGATTAAGAAACCTGTCAGACTTGACATTGCAAGACAGAATCTCAAGAATATTCAGTAATATTTCAAATGTTAAGAACTCTGATTCTGTCATGTAAATTAATTAAAAAAGAGATAAAAGGTGACCATTTTACTAGTGTTAGTATGCAATATAAGTCCTGCTTTGTTTACAAGAGTTATGTTTGTTGAAATATCCCTTTTTATTCAAAAATGTTTATGGTTACATTTAATTTCCTCTGAGAATCCCAGCTCAAGTATAATCAATACTGTTATTTATTTTAAATGTTATGCTACAGAATTCTCTTAAAAAACTGAAGAGAATCTGAAAGCTATGTGTAAACACCTTGTTTTAGTGAAATTCCTAAAATTCATAAATTCCTGCCACGTTCATCAAATCCTAATGATAATTGTGCAGGCAGATAGTCTAGGAGATGAAAAATGTGTTTTCTAGCAGCAGAATCCACAGTAAAAGGTTGAAAGTGGAAGAGCATTGAAACATGTTTAGTGATGTGCATAATCTTTTAAAGTGCCTTGAGCCATCCTTGGTCTAAAAAAGTTAATGTAGTTTTAAAGGAGCATGGGATTTAAGCCAAGACCCTTTAGATCTCGTGCCTCACATTTTGATGTTGTTTTGAAAGGTCAGTCTCATCATTTGTTTTAGCCTTAAGACTGTTGCACACAGTCCTCATCGGTTTTGAAGGGAAAGGGAATTCAAGGTTGCTGCAGTGCTGCCCAGTGTATGTATTACAGTGTCTTATGGCCTGTGGCATTAAACTTCCTTGTCATTTTTTCTCTTCGTTTGTCACAACTCCTCCCCTTCCTCTCTCTGTCCTGACATCTGTGAAACCTGCCTCTGCCATTCTGTTCCATCTTTTTTCTCTCTTTCTCCATTTTTTCTCTTTTCCTGAACCTGTCCAACTTGTCCCGATGTTTCGTCCTCTTCCCCACCTGTCTCCCCTTCTTCTCTTCTCTCTGTCCCGTTCTCCTTTCCTGAATCTATCCTGCCTTGTCCTGTCCTCCTCTCCGCCTTCTCTCTCTGTCCTGTCCTCTTCCCCTCCTGTCTCTTCTCCTTCTCTCTCTGTCCTGTCCTCTTCCCCTCCTGTCTCTTCTCCTTCTCTCTCTGTCCTGTCCTCATCCCCTCCTGTCTCTTCTCCTTCTCTCTCTGTCCTGTCCTGTCCTCTTCCCCTCCTGTCTCTTCTCCTTCTCTCTCTGTCCTGTCCTGTCCTCCTCCCCTCCTGTCCCTCCTCCTTCTCTTCTCTCTGACCTGTCCTGTCCCGAACTGTGCCCCCGTCCCCGGCCCGCCCTGCCCCTCGGCAGGACCTGGACAAGACGCAGGACGAGATCATGCGTCACCACGCCAGCATCAGCGAGCTGAAGCGGAACTTCATGGAGTCCGTGCCCGAGCCGCGGCCCAGCGAGTGGGAGAAGAGGCTGTCCACACACTCGCCCTTCCGCGCGCTCGGCGTCAACGGGCAGGCGCAGCCGGGCTCCGACGGGGTGAGTCCTGCGTCTCGCGCCTCCGCCGGGAACGTTGCTACAGGCAGGCAAATAAACGTGATCACATCATCACACGTCTCATTTAAAACTGCTGTATAGAGAGAACAATTTGAGATACGCTGTGTCAAGTGTATTATGACATTCTCTGCCTTGTGTTTTGCACCAATGATAGGAACAGTTTGAAAATCCTTTTGCAGTCTACAGTGTCATTGGGAATACACAAGTAGGTTTTGATCTGGAGCGAAGAACCCTAAAGCTCATTAAAGTGATCACCAAAGTGCTCTTGACATGTCTGGACCATCAGTCCTGATTGATCATTAGTAGGCCTCAGTGTTTATCTCCTGTTGCATGTATGAAGTAATTAGAGCTTGTCTCATTGTATTGGTACAAAACACCCACGTTGATAGGCAACTCTGTTTGGTTCACCTGCTGTTGGAGTGCACCTGTTTGAGTGGCCCACGATATGCTTCAAAAAAGTGTTAAATCACTGCCAGCCAGTGTTAATCTCAGTTTTGTAGTAAATCTTCCTTGCAAGATTTTTCTCTTGTCCTTACCAGAAATGTTTCACTGCTGTTAGACCATGGGTCGGTAACAGAACACGTTCTTCTTTTTAAAATTTTGGAATCTCCCCATCATTTTTGATTATACGCACACGCACTTTGGAATCATCGCTTGCTTTAAGATGATGAGATTGCTTTAAGACTCCCATGGGAATAATTGTAACCCGCAGAAATGCTTTTCCTGTGCATCCATCTGCAAAGTCATTTATCTCCACTCTTCCAGTTGGAGGGTTGGTGAATCTCTCACCTGCTGGCACCCAGCGAGTTGTGTCCCAGCTTCACGTTGGCCATCCTCAGCCAATTGACCAGCACGGTCAGTCAGTGACGTGACCAAGACCGGCGCCGGGGCAGTCGGTCGGTGACGTGGCCAAGGCAGAGTCTGGCAACATCTGAGTCTCAGAGCTGTACTGTACCTGCAGTCCAAGCAAGAGCCTTTTCTCCTTAAAACTCTAGGCTAGAATCCAACATAAGTAAAAACTACCACAGAAAAATGAGCACTCTTACCCCTTTCTAACATGTGCAGTGTTTTGGGAGGACATTTAGGGGAGGTGCAGGAGAATAACAGTTAACCAAGAATAACAGAGTCTCATGAAGCACAATACGGTTCTTAGGGTTAGTTGAAAAACGGGCTTACATCTTTTGTTATCCGTAACATGCGCAAAATATTTTACAGCTGGTAAACAACTGACACTCTTGGGATTGAGTCTCTCACTCAGCAGTGAGTGAAACAGATAAAGATTTTTTTTTCTTTAATGCGTAGGTGGCACGGTCACCTTTATTTGCATGGCAAGCCACTTGAAATACATGTGTGCTAGAAGACTAGAGAGAAATCCACAGAACTATCCCTGTTCCTTTACTGTGCAAGCGAACAGTGAACCAGTCTGGCCACTGAGTGGCGTCAGAGGCTGAGGTTCAGAAACTGCCCAGCGAAGCAGAGGTCTTCATGTGCTGCACCTGTGCAACGCTGCATCCTCCACTAGACTGTGTTAAAGTTACAGGCTGTTCTTTAGTTGTGCGTTAGGAAACCTTGGGACTACTTCAGTTCAGTTACTTCTACTTCAGTTTTTACCTGATCAAGTGATGAATTGGGCTATTTTGAAAAAAACACAGGAAGTTATGGCTGATAAGACAGAAGCAGTTTGTCACAACCTCAAGATGCATAGAATAAGTAAGATTATATTATGCAAATGTAGTCTTAGCTCCCATATGGACGATCACACAGCTGCTCTGCCAAACTGCTCTAATGGTTATATCATAAGAAAAGGCGTTCATACTGTATACAGTATATACACACCTTTTTAATGTGTAAGTATGCCATCAGGTAATCAAGTGATGAATAGTGCATGGAGGCACTGGTGCAGACTGCCCAGCCCTACCACCGACAGCAAGCCATTTTCAGGGCTGCGTCTGTGCTTGTGACCCAGACACGCCTCTGGTGCTGCGCGAGGGGAGGGAACACGCCGAGATGAGTGGCCGGGGTTCTGATCCAACCTGCCAGCACCGGGTGCCCCTGTCCGTCCTCCACGCAGGCCCGGGGTCAGCTCAGTTGTTTCGATGTGGAGGGAACATAAGAGCACAGGGAGACCCTTCGTGCTGGTTCGCCGAAGACTAGTCAGATCAGTCCCTCACACGGCCCGCAGGGATAATTGTGGGCAGGCGCTGGCTCTGTGGGGTGAACCACAGCCAGGATCATACAGCTAGAAGAGGGATTTTAGGATGAAGAAGGTTTCGGGCTGTTTCAGTTTGGGATGTTAATTTGCACTGTGGTCTGTACATGTTTAACATGCATACATGCAACATGAGACCTGCAGACTGTTTGATTAACCTGTAATGTAAGTGAATTTTTTATTGGTTTGATTATAGCATGTGACAAATGCCTTGAGCAGTGCAGGAAAACAGCAGTGACCTCTGCATTTAACTCATCCCTCACTGTCTGTCCTTCTCTGGCAGTACTAGTCTTTACACTTTGGAGACTTCTTTTTTCCCCGTGCTCTGAACTTGATCTGCTGCCTCTTGTGTCTGTCTCATGTGTTTTTCTCTATCTGTCGCTCTACTTAAAATGTGTGTGCGTGTGTGTGTGCGCGTGCACAGGTGAAGGCACCCCCTTGCCCACCCACTGAGAGAACGGTTGGTGGCGACTCTGAGGTAAAGTTACTCTGACTTGGCGCTTTTGATGCAGAACTGCAAAAAAAAAAATAGGCTTAAAAAAAACCGATATGACACAGGCGCTATGGCTGTGGCCCAAACAGCTAATGGCCCATTGAACGCTGAGTTGCACCCTGCTGGCGTCATCAATGTCCTGATTCACAAGGCCTCCCCTTCTGCCTTTCCCCATTCTCTTCTCCTTCCTTTGCTTTTCCTCCTCTCCCACCACCCAAGAATGGCTCCTTCTCCGCTTGGGACACTCGCTTGTACGCATGGCTGTGTATGGAGCAAAGCTGCATGACTCTGTATAACCACTCCTTTATTTATGCAAGGAAAAAAAGAAAGAAAACAGCAGACAACGGCGAACACAGTCCAAGGAATAACTGACCCCTCTTCTTCTCCATGTCGTTGTGTCTTCTCCCCTCCACATTTTCCCTTCTCATTATCCTCCTCTTCATTGACCGGTTTGATATTCCCTCCTCTTCTCTTCCCTTCTTCTTTCCAAGTCCTATTCCAGTGCTCAGTGTCCCAACACCCCTCCCCCTTCGTCTTCATCCCCCACTTCAGGGGTGTGCAAAGACGCCACCTCGCGGCATCACAGCGACCCGAATCACTTCATCCGCCTGAACCAGCTGCGCACCCAGTTCTTCCTGTCCTAGCGCGGAAGGTCTGATGACCGTGGCCAGGCCCGAACTCTAGAGTTAGGATCAGCAGTGTGACTAGGAGAAGTCAAACCATTCAGAGCAGGGTCGTCTTCCCCCTGCACAGCTCTAGGGATTGATCCATTCTCCCGCTGATCTTAAATGATTCTGCAGAATCCAGAGACTGAGGAAGTCTGTACTGTAGGGCTCACATTGCTCCCCTACCTCAACCTGCAGCTCCACTGCTCTTGGAGAGCACAGGGTAGTACGTCCTGCATGAGCACGTTATTCTTATTTCTTGGCTAAATCTGGAAGCTAAAAGATCAAACATCTGGAAATGTCTTCATACTGTACATCTTAACGTCGGTAAAGTTTAAAAAAAAACATTTCTCCACTTGAAAAATCCTTAAAAAATGTTGTCCAACTGCCTTGATTAAGGTATAGCCTGATTGGAAAGCTCTTCGATTGAAAATGTTTACATGGGCCTGCTTTGCTAGCGTGGATCCAAATGATCACAACGCCTGCTGTCTTGCCTGACTGTACTTAATCTTCTGCCTGAAACCCTCAGCCCGAAGCTGGAGGGAGAGCTCCACTTCCACAGCTTCGCTGCATGAATGGTAGCACTCTAAAGAACTGCACAGCCCACACCCGAGCAAAGAGGCTTGAGCATTCCCTTGGAAGAGCCTGCATAGTTCCACACCAAGACTGCTGAGTATAAGGACACAACCAGGCAAGATATCAGCGTATCGGTGATTCCTGATTGTGGAAATCTGGTGCACAAACAGTGGGTTGGCCGAGTCAGACTGGTAGGTTTTACAAGTCTTACAGGTGCTGTAAAGGTCCTGAGCCATTCACTTCTAGTGAAGTGAAAGCAATTTCAGTAAAAGCATTCCTTTCAGTCGGATGACTAAAAACCCAATCACTGATCGGGTGCCAGCGTTTTCTGTAGTTTGGCTTTGCTGTGCCAATGTGTGTTGGTCAGCTTGAATTCACAGACTGCGGACCAGGACTAAGCCAGGATACCCGTCTCACCATGCATCCCACTGCCATAGCAGGCCAGGGAGATGGATGTCCATTGCATTCGTAGGGATTCATAGGGTTTTGTAGGGATCTGTAGGGATCAGATGCGAGCCAGCCCATACACCACCCTTCCCAAACCTCGTGACAGCAACGTTGTCACGTTGACCTTTTCCATAATTTCTCTCTCCGCTGCCTTCGCCAGACCCGGCTCTCCGTGTCGCTCTCTGTCCGGAATGATTTCCCAGTGGGGTCTCCCTGCTGCTAGCAGCACAGTGCAGACCTAGTGTGTGCCCCACTACACAGTTCTGGACACTTAAAGTATTATTGCTGGACTTGTTCAGTGGGATCCAACTTAACAGAAAACTGATGAAACGGTGTAAAATCTACAACAAGTAAGACATTTGCTGATACTGCGAGAACAATTTCCTTTAAAACGATGATTGACCTGGGATATGTGAAATTATATGAGTGTAAGATCCACTAGGACGTGGAAAATTGTATGATTTTCAAATGGTTTCATAGATTACACAAAACCCCAGGAGGAAGGGTACTCCTCGTTTGGTTTTAGATGTTTGATGGGGGAGGAGAAGCTGCTTTGAAACAAGAGGGAGAGTTTGAATTAGAGAAGCTGCCC